CCCTCTCCAGCCTGTTCACACCTTTTTTGTATAGTGGGGACCAGGACTGAAAGCAATACTCCAGATGTGGCCTGATGAGTGCTGCTTAGAGCTGGATGCTGTCTTCTTATCTTTCATGGGGATGGCAAAGTGAGAATAGCAGGGAGAAAGCTTCAAAAGTGAGACCTATTATTCAAACCACTTGTTTTGTTCTGCTTTTTAACTCCCCCGCCCAGTGATTCAGAGCAATAGTCTGCAAAAAGTTTACCCGATGATCATTTTGGTCTAGCTGCTGCTGGAGAGCACTGGTGGCAGATCTCTGCTCATTTGCTGCCACCTGCTGCTCGTTCTTTGGAAAGAACCCACTTGGTTAACTGCAGTGTTCTTTGGATCCCTGCTGGATCAGTGCAACTCTGTTCCCCAGAAAAGTTGCTGTGGACACTGCCCTCCAGTTAACATTTCCAAACACTCTCGGTGCTTTATGTTTGTGTTGTCTCTGAGTGATACTTTAATTATAAGCTTTTCTTCCAGAATTATTAGTAAGCCTGCTTGTCTTAATCCTTGTGCCTCAAAATTGGAGACCTTATTTTCCCAGGATGGGTGGGAAATTTACATTTCAGCTACTAGAAATTTGCAGTGACCTTTATAGCCTGAACAAGAACAGAATTGCACTTTCTGTTTTCTGTCTAAATAAAGTATATGCAATTATATATCCGGTCTCCCACAATATTTACTGTTTTACTGTAGCTGTTGAAGTTGTATAAGGGCATCTCAGCTATTATTTGTAAAGATGTGTTTGGGGTCTTCAATATGCTAAAGAAATCTAGAAAATCTGAATCCCGTGGATCTATAAAACCAGCAAAACGTATTCTTTAAAGAAAGTTCTTGTCATTCAAGAAAAGCTCGTGAATATTCAGCCCTGGACTTTTCTTGTGAATGTTTTGAATTATTAGTACCACAAAAGCAGGAGGCTCTGTAGATAATACTCTGGATTGTTCTCTATTTGCAGAGAAGCGGTTCTTCAGGCGTTCAAAATCGGGTGACATCCTTGCCAAGAACCCTGTGGTGCGCTCAAAAAGCTACAACAACCCGCTGCTGACGCCAGTAGCCGAGTATGAAACCGAGGGCATGGCTGCCAATGGAACAGGCATCCGAAGGCACTCTGTTTCAGAAATCACCTCCTGCCTGGAGCTACAGGGGTACTCCAACCTCACCACCATCATGGACAACGGTTCCAAGAGCTCTATGACCACCACGAAAAGCTCCCTGTCGGGAGACCCGGAGAGGCCCAGCCCTGGGTCAGTACAATGCTCTAGCAAACTCAGCACAGTTGAGCAACAGAAAGGACTCTTCCACTCAATTGACGACTCACATAGGTCTTTTGAGCTGGACAGGGACCCTTCCTTGATTCCAGTTCCCTCTTCCAGCCCTGAGAACATAGTGGATCAGATTTTGGAGTCAATTGACTCTGATTCTGAAGGCATTTTTATTGATTTTGGCCGAGGCTGTTCCAATTCATCAGCATACAATGTGGACGTGAACAGACAGAGCATCATGTGAAGGACATTGGGAGACAAACCTTGGGTTTTAATATTATATATGAAAGTTACTAATGTGTTGAGTCAGACCGACTGCGGGCAAACCAGATGTGTCTAGGGCAGAGCCTCTGTTGTAGGTCATCGCAACTGTACTGAAGCCCACAAGTTTGCAGCAGGCAGGAGTCTGCTGTGAGGGGAAAGAAGCTCCAGCAACTTCTCCCTGTCACTCTGCAGCTGGATTTCCTATTGCCTTTACAAACTTAGGGGTTCACAAGCTGACAAGTGTCTGGTAAAATGCTATTAGTGCAGCTGGCAGTGTTCATTCAGTAAAACAGCCTAGCAAATATCAGTGTTCACTTTTAATTTTGTCAAGAGATTCCTGTAGATGTCAGGTTCAGGTTGTTCTCTGAACTGTAACACATCAGCCAGAGTAAAAAAAAAAA